TACAAAGTCAATTACTGAATTAGTTGTGTACGAATATAAACAATGCGAGTTACACAAATTTGCATATTTCGTTCTAGTAATTAAAAATCGTTCGACAAGACCTTGATAAAAGGTCCAGTATGGCATAAATGGATGCATTTCTCCTTCACTGTTCTTTGCTTTAAGAGTCTTTTTTACGTACGCTAATAACCTGAGTGTTGTATTTCGGTCAAAAAGAAGAACATTCTCCTTTTAGCGCTACAATCTCCGTCCATAAAGTCGAATCTCTATGGTTTGTTTTACCTGACTTTCCTTACATAAACTTATCAATGCTTGATTCGTCTTGAGTTTGTAACTGAAACAGAAATATCTCTTTTCTCAAAAGCCAAAACAATTGTGTATGTGAAAGGGCCTTTGAGAAACTCAGTCGCATTGTTGACTTCGTGCATGTAGCTTGCGTTTGCACGTGGTTGTATATAAAATCCAAAAATACATAGCTAGTTCAGCAGTTTGAAGCCAAACTAATCTTAATCGCTTCGTTGTAGGACGTACGTGTCGTGGACTATTCGATTACAATACTCTCTATTTCGAGGGCAAAACAACGCGATCCGATTGATGTGCCGTATATTTATCCCACCTACTATCCATATTTTTGGTCTGCGACTCTGGGGCTCGTTTTGATAGAATAGTCAGAATAGTCAAATTCGTGTCTTATCTACCCTGACAATGTCGGGCTTTGCACTAGAAGCTAGAGAAGAATATACAGGCCCTGAAAATGTCTAGGTTTTTACAGTATCGGCGAACCCGAGATCGAAGAACTCCTCCATGGCTCCCTGTTTCGGTCCGACCTCGCACAAGTCAGCACACTTTTTTCGTCTCTTTCTCGTTTCTTGACGAGTGCCATCGATACAGAGGCATCGAAGAAAGAGGATAGCTCTCTCCTGAGCTTGCTGCACTGCTACTACGTCCAACAACCGGCATTTAGCTTGCATTCTGCAACGATTTTGAATTACAACATCGCATGTTCGCACACATTCTCCTCATAAGCAAAACATTGTTAGTCCTTCGATGACGTCACAGGCCCACTCGCCCCATTCTTCGCTATTGTTTGGCCATGGGGCGTGGAAACGGCCAATTTTAGGAACTTTGAGAAATCATAGAAAATTAACGAAAATAGCAACAACGATAATTTTTTTTCCCATCGGTGATCAGAAAAGCAAGGAGATTTAGATAAGCGAAAAAAAAAAAATTGGGGGGTTAGTTGCACTTTAAGTGATGAGACATCCAACGTTGGAGTGATTTGAAATTATACTCGCCATTGTAGAACATTTGAAATTAACCATGTCACGCAACAATTTAAAAAAAAACGCAAATTAGGCTTTTTAAATTGCAAATATCTCCAGTGGGCAACATTGCGTGTCGAAAAACATGTAATCACAATAAAACCCTATCAAAGTGCTATGTTTCTGACGAAAAACAATTTGGGGCTCTGTACTCTGAAGTACATGACAATCCAAGTTAATTGGATTACTCCGTGACAATAAGCTGCTGTTTAAGGAGCTGATTCGAATCGTGTACTGGTATCAGTGACACCATTTTGTTTGTTTTTCAGCTCTTAAAACCTTAAAAGAGATGTTTATCTGCATAGCTAAGAAGTTAAATTAAGTATATAAATTATAAGACATTGACGTGATTTACTGACAGTCGTGAGTAAATCTAATAAAACCCGTACGTCTGAGGTCGACCGTTGAAAGCAAAGTGCGTCAGATCTATTTGGCCACATTTTGTTACTTTCCACACTTATTAAATTAATTTTCAAACTTTGAATGCACTCACTTTAATCTTGGATTTTACTTTTCTCTTAAAAAGTCAAGAAATAACGGAAATTGATACAAAATCAAGCCAAAATGCTAATGAAATGTACATATTGGTGAATTTCTGGAATTTGATGAAGAAAAAATATACAGAATTGGGTCAAAAAAGTTGATTTTTGGCCAAACCTACATGAAACGAGTGGTTTCTATGGAAACATAAAAATGATGGATACACAATTGACATATCAAAATATTCGTTAAGGATGAATGAACAGCTAATGAAAGTTTCAGCCCCTTAGAGTAAACCGTCTTCAAAATTTTGAAAATACCTTATTGGGGGATGGCATCC